ATGGATTTAGTTATCAAGTAAAAAATGTAATGATTTTTTTTGTGGAAACAGGCGGAAGTGAGAGCTTTCTTTGATGTTCATGAGCAAGAAGGGAGCCATCCAGGTGGCATTCATTTGGAGATGACAGGTCAGAATGTGACAGAGTGTGTTGGTGGGTCCCGCACGGTGACATTTGATGATTTAAGCTCAAGATACCACACACATTGTGACCCAAGGCTAAATGCTTCTCAATCCCTTGAGTTATCTTTCATCATTGCAGAAAGGCTAAGGAAGAGAAGAATGGGATCCCAAAACTCCCTTTCTTTGAAGTTTTAAAATTTGTTGTTTGTTTGTTCAAGTTTGTGGGATTTTAAGTTGACATGTAGTTAAATTTTGGACAAAATAAACTATGACGTATGAGATTGCTTTCAATAAAATGGGTTTAAGTGGCGTATTTATTTAGTTTTCGACATCGGTTTTGGAATAGTTACTCGTTCACTTTTATTTGGGGTTAAACATAAGAAAGGGTTAATGTCGTAAATGACAACTAATAATATTTACTTCGTAAGTCATTTGTCTTTTAATTGTATTTTAACTGTATCTAATAGTTTATTTTAAGGTTAAGATTATACGTATGAGTGTAACTGAGTCGAGCTAATTCGGGAGATACTTGGGATTGATTCGCAAAATACTTGAAATCGACTTGGCTCGAGTCAATACTCGGCTCATAAAGCTTGTGAGCTTAATCGAGCAATGTTATATTTACACATTTATCCCTTGGTTTATTCATATTTGCATATAATAGAACCAAGTCTGAGTTGAGCTTATGAACCTAATTGCATTTCTATTGTAATTGAGAAATTAAATTACCTCCTATCTTTTTATACCTACAATTATTCATACCCATTAAAATTATAACAAATCACCATTCAATTTAATTGTAATTGATATATTCATAATATAACCTTAATGAGTTAGTTAAAAAAATATCGAATGATGACAATTGTTATAATTTTATTGGGTATGAATATTTGTAAGAATAAAAAGTAGGAATCAATTTAATCTCATTGTAATTTAATGTAATTTTGGTTTATTAGTAGTTAATTGAGTCAAGTTGAGCTTGAAAATGTCGATTATATTATCGAGCTTGAGCTTGAGATTAAGGTTCGAATCGAGTTCGAGTTGAGTTTCAATCGTGAGTTATTTGGTCGAGTTAAGTTTTGACTCGACTCGATTAGGTTACACTCCTAAGTCCTAATTATACCATTGGTGTGGATTTCAAAAGAGTTATTATTTTATATCATATAAAATTTAGTAGCAAATTGTACGGTTAAAATCCGTTTAAATAGGCCGTAAGGATCTAAAAAATTATTTAAGAGAAATTAAATTAACTAACCATTATAAATGAATGTATTAAAGGAAATATCAATTTTTTTATTCATTTTTTTTCTAATAGAGAAATAAACACTTTCTTAAAATGAATGCTTCGTTCTAGAGTACTTTTTATATTTTAGATTTTTTTCTTAGAAAGAAATCTTTTTATTTTTATTTTTTTGGATTTATAAGGCTACATTTCAAAATGTTTAATGTCATTGTTTTTCAATAAAATGTTTAATTTTTTTGTATTAATATCGTATATAATTCATATTATTATGTTTGTTTAACTTTTTGTTAAATTCAAGTAAAAAAATGATTTTTTTCTCTCGAAATTTCTGATATTATTCTTCGGATTCGGAGTTCTTTAAAATCTGGAGGTTATTTTATTTATTATTTTTTTCGAAATCTGAAATTTTAATCCGGAACCCGAAACACCGTTCTAAATTCAGTAAAAAAAATGTTTTCTTAATCGGGCATTTTGTTAAAGCTTGACAGCAAGTATAAGCCTTGGACCCATAACGAAACCGTGACGAGCTTTTTAGAACATTGAAAGTATAACATTATAATATTTGAGTATATTTTTCAATGAATATCATTCATAAAATGCAATATTATACTGGAATGAGTTAGAAATTGGATATTATCATACATAAAAAATGTGATGTGATGACATTGGATTATTATGAATAGGTGGGGAGCACATATCAATTTTATGGGTCTATTCGACGAGGTGTTGGACTACGGCGACCGAATGTCATTTTAGCATGAAAGTGACTACTCAACAGAATAGGGCCCATATATCAGCAAACTAGGCGTATTTTGATGTGCTGTTGTGCCTAGCACAAATCCACAATTATACAATTAAAATAAAATAAAAATTGGTTAACGGTCTTTATACTTCTTTTTTGAATATAATGTCCGAAGGTATGAGTGCGGGAAGTTTTCCCTCTCACCTGAATACCGCTTCGTGACTGAGGGAAAAGTGGTGAGAGAGCTCATTGTCTCTCTTTCTCTCCTATTTCTATTGATCAATTTTTTTAATCATTTTTAATATTTATTAAATTATATACCTGCTAAAGATTATAAAAAAATATATCAAAACTCATGGTTTTAATTCTCTACAAAATGAGTATAATATTTGTAGGAAATATATATATATATATATATATATATATATATATATATATATATATATATATATATATATATATATTAAAAAAATAACGAGGGAAGTTTCCCACCAATTCCTTATGTTTGGGTGAAGGAAAGGAAAATGAGGAAAAAATGTTGTGGCCCATAAAAAATGAGGGGAGTTTCTGACTCACACCCTCCGATCTAAAAGTCTTTTATCTACTTTTATATTTTTGTTTATATATATATATATATATATATATATATATATATATATATATATATATATATATATATATATATATATATATATATATATATATATATATATATATATAAGTACCTGCACAATGTAGCAGACGCTGAATAGTTTAATTCCGACGATTCTTTTTTCTTTCCACAAACAACAAATAGTTTGATTTTGATTTATGTCGGACTGTCTCTACGTTCCTTTTACGGACCAATATTTTTTGCCGAGGTCTTTTTTTATGTTTTATTTGAGTCAATCTTACTCAATTATATTAATTAGGTTTTGTTAAATTAGACTAAAATTTTATCAATTAGAACTTTGATTTTCATTTAATTTTATTTATGTTGTCATATGCCATTAAATTAGAAAAATTAAAATTTTATTTTAACCGTTTACTTATCATGGAATTTAATTGATATCTTAATTAGGAAAAATTAAATATTTTCCTGTATTTTATTCCTATTTATTTTTCTATTATATCAAATATTGGCATGTATCATATTTAATGACACATATAATGAAATTGATAATATTTTAATCTACTTGTCATAATTTCTTGTGGGTATGCAGATAGTAGTAACAAATTATAGAAGGATATTTAATTTCTCTTTGATTAATTCTAATAACTTGTTAAAGTTTTTATAATAAAAATCAAGATATAAATATATAGTATTACGAAAGTTAGGACTTTTGAATTGAACTCACTTTATAAATTAAATTATAAAATATATAATTTAAGAATAAACTAATCTATAATAAAAACATAAATAATTCTAAATAAAATAATGTAGAATATTTTAGAATTGCATAATAATCTAGTTTCATAATTTATGTTTTGGGATATTGTTGACGTTTTAGATTTTCTTTTTTTCCATGAAAAAAAATGTTGATTGTATTCAATTTCCTATGTAGAGTTAAACATTTCATTATTGATTGTATTCAATTTCCTATGTTGAGTTTGACTTTAAACATCTATTTATTACTCACTAAGTGTGAGACTCATATATTATATGAGTTTAATTATAAAAAATAAATATAAAATTTTAATAATTTGAAAAGTTTGAATTTATAAGAAAAATGAGAAAATATGAATTATTAAAATTAATGAGACTTTAATGTATTGAATACATTATATATATAAACTTTTTCTAATAAATACTTTACATATATATTACTTTACACATTAAATGTGGAATTTTAATTTAACAAAATGAAAAATACAATAAAATAACAAGTAAAAAATAGAAAATTAAAAAATTCTAGAAAATACCATGTATGTATCCAAATGAATGAGAATAGAACATATAACAAAAAAACATTCATTTATTATAATAGATGGGATTCTTTTTTAATAGGAGCTATAATACTGCACCACCTTATTACAGTTATTTAGTTTAATATTACCAAATACTTTTGTGATTATTTACACCTAATATACTAATCAATTTTACTAAATAATTTTGTGATTATTTACACCTACTATACTAATCAAATTTTTTTACCCTATTAAATGCCACCTCATAGCAATTAATGTGAATTAATGTATATAATAAACCTTCCATTTGCTAATTTTTATTTGTATTTAATGAATTCCATTTGTGAATTCTTATTAATTAGTTTAATTAGTATAGATTAATTAATACAAATTCTTGTGGTTTATTCTATTTATTATATTTATTTCGAAAGTTTATTTTAAAAATACTTAACTTTTATACATTCATATTCAACATGATTTTTTTAAGATGATAATATTTTTTTTTATTAGTATAGATTGAACTAATTATTAATCATTTCATTTATATTTATTTCAAAATTTTACTTTAAAAAATAATTAATGTCTACATCTCATATTTAACTTTTTTAATCAACTCGTGTAATACACGTTTTTCACACCTAGTATTTATTAGAAAAAAAGTAAATAGTATAAACTATTTACACCTATGAATATTATGATAGGAAAATAAACTATTCATATAACATTCAATGTGAAACTAGAAAGGAATCATTGCGCCTTTGGGCGCTGTGGTGATGGAATTAAAATGCATGACGAATTTGCATAGGACTTAATGGAAGAAATCGGAACATACCTTTAACAGAGTAGCAATAACACCATAAATAAATAAGATTGAAAATGGTAGTATAGAATTTACATAACTCAATCGGTAATTAAGAACTTAGAACTATGTGCCCTAGAAATCAGGGGAAATCAAACCATCCTGGTCCAAAAGTACAGACAAACACGAACAAAGAAACACCAGAAATTTCAAAATCGGAAATCATAACAGTGATTTTCAATGAGGCGAGGCTCGGAAAAAGGGGATGAAAGACCACCGGTTGCATAATCCAATCGGATATGCCTTGCGAGTTGCCTTGCCAAAATACGGCCTCTAAGTTCACCCATGGTCAACATAATGCAAAAGAGAAATAGGAAGACCCAAAATTTACTTGCATCCTACGACCATTAGGTTGTCTTCAATAGTAACAATCTTTGGTCTCTGCAATTTTTAAAAAACACAGAAACATAGAAAAAATAAAGATAGAAGGTAATTAAGGTATCTTTTTTAATAAATTGTGTCAATTCGTTATGAATTATCAAGAGTCATATGTTATAAGAACATACCTGGGAAGAATTCTTAATGAGCAAATTAGATAATAATGTTCTGTTCTCAGAATCTTGCCACAACCTGTAAGATCAAGCATGAACATTTCTCATATCCATTGCCAATTACTGATTATTATGTAATTAGTAATCTTTGATTGAAGAGATGGGAAATGAAAACCCATCTACCACAACTATACTGAAGTAATTTATGTAAGTTCATACCAATCATCAAAGCCTTAAATTATGATTTCAGCTGATAAAAACAAAACTAGATACACATATTCAGAAAATAATATGATCATTTAAACTATCAGAAGTTAACAGAAGGTAAAAAATATTGATTCTTGAATCATGATTCATAAGCTACAGTAATTTATATTCACACTTTCACATGTTTCAATCTATAAGTGAACCCTAAAACTTGAAACTGTGAAATAAGGAGACGAGATACACACCATATTTGGCAACATTCCATCGCAGTCAACAGCAAATCGAAATGCCAAATCAATTTAGGGCTTAATAAGAACAAAATTCAAGAATTATGAGTTCTAAGATACCTTAAAAGTAATATTGATGAAATGGCATTAAATATATGAAACGGAGGTTAAAATCAGTTACATAGCGAGGATTATATTAGCAAAAGATGATCACATCAGACAAGTACATTAGCAAAAGATGTGCAGGATAAGAAAACAGGGGCATTTTGGTCTATTTGTGTGTCTTATGATCTGTGATTTTATGTTGATTTTTCTGGAGGCTAAAAATAATGCTAGACATGAAAGTATAAGATTGTGGCTTGGTTTTACCTGGGATTGGCGCAGTAAAATTGGTAAAGGGCAATTCCGTCTTTTGTGGTTTATAGAAGGATATTACTATTTTGATCAACTTAATATTTGATGGGAAGGTTTTTGTTGGAATAAGAAGATTAAAAGGAGAAGAAATAAAAGGTTTTTAAAGTGTTCTTGAATCTATAGGTTAATGATGATGTAGCAAGGGCATTTCTGTTATTTTATAGTTTCTTTCAACTGCAATCCAAATTTGGTTTTCCTAATGATTTGTGATGGTAACGCTGCTTTCTATTGGAAATTGAAATAATTAGAAAAGTAAAAAAAATGTCATGAATTAAAAAAATACTGAAATTGTTTACAAACATTGGTAGTAGACTTGCCTTCTCGAAGAGGGGTTGGAGTAATTCCTCCAACAAGAACACAATACCCATTTTCTCTTTCTTTGAGTTAATCGAAAACAGACCAACAAAACCTAAAAAATGCAAACATCCAAATCATTACACAACAAAATCTGGAATTTATACATACTTAAATCAGTCATATAATATCTCGGTTGGAAAAGACGTCCATTTATTATAGCCCTATTACAGTTCTTAAAGTATAAATTTGGAATAAAGTAATACATACATTTATAAAAAGTTAATATATAAAGAGATTTTGAAAAGAATATTAAGTTTAATATCATAAATGTTATTTAACTAACTTAATTAAAAATATATATAAATCATAACATAATTATTTAACCAATGACCGTTTATAAGATATTGTAAACATATGATTTAATAAGGTAATAAATATATTCAACAGTACATGTTATATATTTTAACTTTATTTGTCGCAATTTATATGGTATTATAAAGAAAATGGCAATTTATCATTTAATTTTAATTTTCCCATGTTTATTCCAACTTTTGCAGTACTTCAATTGGCTAGCCCAACATTAACACTAAGGTTTGACTCACGACATATACCCTTCCCAAATTCAAGCTCAAATTTGAGCAGTTCTATAAGGTGGTGCAAGCTTATTCTTCATAATCTTCCAAAAAAAAAAAAATTCACAACATTCATCAAATGGGACAAAGAAAGAAGAAGGGCAAATAGGTAAAGGGTTATTGTCTTAATATATTAAGCCATGCTTTTTGGCTTAATCCATTAGGTCATTCTGTCCAGATTAAGTAAAAATAAACAACAATGTATAGATGTCTGTATTAAGTGCTTAACCCATTAATCCCAAATTGCTTTAAAATATTCAAATTACCTCTTCGCCCTTCTTGACAAGTCCTATTCTCCTAATATTTAGTCGAATTGAAGAGTAAAACTTCAAAGCATTTCCACCACAAGTGACTTCAGAGGGTGCACAAGATCCAAAAGTAGCTAGCTTTGACCTTACCTAAGTCAGATTTGAAAATTACTTGATTCAGACTATATTTTATCTCTAACAGGTAAAATTTATATACTTTTAGGTACCTGATTAATGAAGATTAAAATAGTTTGTGATGTAGATAATGAATGGCTTAATTTACGAAGTACCTGACTCATAAGTCTAGCTCGCATTGCCATGTGTGCATCACCCAATTCACCATCAACTTCACATTTAGGCACAAGGGCAGCAATCCATGTTCGTCTTCTTCTCCCAAAAATCTATTTGTCTTAGAGTCCAGATCCCTTTACCGCTTTTCAGTCCACCTGATAAAGTAAAAAAGAACGCCCGTCGCTCCTCCAAACACAACTCTGATGAAACTGGAAGCGAATTGAGATAAGAAGAAAGAGGCGAGGTCAAAGGCGGTGAAGATGAAAACATGGGTGTCAAAAAAACAACTTGGACTTTGGGTTAGTGGAATAGGTTGATGGAGAAGCTGAAAGAACTTTCAAAACTTGTAAAATGATTCAAAGGGTAAAAGGGTCATATTCATATACATCCCTGACTCACAAGCCAACCAAATACACGTTAAATATAATCACAATCAATAAAAGATAATAAATACAAATGAGAAATCACAAATTCATGAACCAACACCTATCAAGGAAGAAACAGAAACATAAAATCTTGATATGTGTAATTTAATTTTACAATAACTGTGAAAGGGTTAAATTTTACAAACCTGATTATGTGGGTCGATCCTACCCAGTACAGCTTCGACAGCAACATCCATTCTGAAACGACCAAGAACAAATAACTTTTTTTTTTGTATTAGTATTTTTTAGCAACTAAAATCATTAAAAATATATATAAAATCATTAAAAATATATATATTTTTTTTAAAAATCAACACTTTTTTGAAGTTATCAAACAGACCATCTGAATGCTTTCTATCAACAATGATATGTGAAAAACCAATTCTGAATCATCTTTGTTACATTCCAGGAGGGTCTAAGAAGAACATAGTTTGATATTTAATAACAAATACAACGACTCATCAATTTGTCAATTTCTATCCATGTCCCCAACATAAATTTGCTCTGTGTGTCATGTTGTAATAGTTAAAGTAATTATGAGTTTGTTGTCATATTTAACAAAATGAATATGAAGCAATTATTTTTCCGAAAAAAGAAATTTGTTTTGATTTTATATAATTTAAAGTTAACAACAAATTAGTTACCATATTAAGGGTTTTGATATTGCTTCATACTTTTCCTTCTCCACTGTAAAACACGAACGTGCAACATCTCATCCACCATATCATTATCCCTCAATCATATTTGTCGGTCCTGCAAAAAAAATATCATCATTTTCAAGAATGAACTGATTTTTCATATGAATTTTGTGTATTATATGTTAACAGCAAAAAACACAGTGCACAGGTCAACGCTACTAAAAAAAAAAGATTATTAATTCTTTATTTACAAAAAATATATATATTAACAAAAAATGGCTACATTAAGCCATGGAGGGCAATGTGAGTGGACTTGGAGGAAAAAAATGAAGGGCAAATAGGTAAAAGATTACACGCTGAATACATTAATGTTTATAGCCTTCTACAGGGAAAGGAATTGAAGCCCATAAAATGAGTCAAGTCTATGATAGGTACCAATAGTCTTTATGGCGCTCTTACCCCTTATGCAAAGCACCAATGACTTCGGTCTTCTGAAAGGGGCTTAGGGCATATCATCAAAGAAAGAATCCCGAGGAAGGGGGTGAAGCTGAGGTTAGAAACGGTTTCTCCCGTTGTTGCTAGTTCCTCAGGTCGGGTTGTTTATTTTTCAGAGCTTTTTCATAGGCAGACTACATATACGTTTATGATAGGTTCATATTTAATTACATTTATGGTCCAACTTTAAGAAATGCTTAATTACATAAACAGACAATTGAAGGGAAAGATAAATATGGGAATGATACCAAAAAAAAAGGACCACAATTACTCCTACATGTTTATGAAGAACATCGATCTGCACCTTTTTTATAACCAAAACAGTCACATAAAGCAACCCATATCTCCACTTGAAATATTAACATAATTTTTTTAAATGAGTGTGAACTAAATGTCTAAATGTATATGTATTACACCAAAAACACACATAAAAATTTAGTTTAGAAGAATTTAAATATTTGCTAAAACAAACAATAAGAGGAAATAATTTTTATCCCATGTGGCTACAAACATAACCGTTTTGCCTGTCTTGGATGCATCTGTAAATTGACCAAGAAAAAAAGCAATTTATTATAGAACAGAGAAAGATTCAAAAGATGTACCCCTTTTTAGAAAACTGTTTTACTACTTATGAAGCACAAAACTACATAATCTTTATGACCCAAGAAGCCTAAATAGATTACCTCTCTTAATAAACCTAAATCCCTTCATCCTCTATTTATGAATCTTCAATAATCAATTTCACAAGGTAATGACCTGGTTGAATAGATCTGCCACAGAAATCAAACAAAAAAAATTATACAGTCATAAAAAATAGACAAACATTTCATCCAACACCTTATCTGCGTACAATATACATTTCTTCAAAAGTACAAACAGAAGAAGATCCAACAATTAACTGCACCATTTTAGGATTAATTAGAGTCTCGAAATGTTAAATATCAAGAAAAACAATAATTTATATTAAATGTAAAATGCGTAAATATAACCATACATGCTTCCGTTTATGACGGTAGATAAGGGTTGAGTAAGCCCCGATTTCCTATTGACCGACAGAGCGGTGACGAACAGAAAGACGAAGACGTTCAATCAATTTGGGTAATGCTTACCAGCATGGAAATCCGTGTGCGGCTAACCATTGCTAACATATTGTCCGACCACCTAACTCATCGTCGTCCGGTTGAACCGCCACGCCATCATCGCCCAACCGGCGTGTATGACTGTATTAGCGGAAGTAGCGATGGTGGAGATGGGACAAAATCGCAATAACTGAAAAAAGTGGGACAAATAAAGCTGTTCTATATCATGTATCCCTATTCTGTTCCATCTATTTCCTAGCAAAAACAAAGATATCAAAGAAGTGAAACAGTTATGCCTCTGGTAGAAACCACTTCACAAATCAAAAGCACTTAAATTAGTATAAACATGTTCGTGTATTCCTTTGGACATTGAACACAGAATACAGAAAGATGGTTGATTGGAAGAGGGATGCGGTGACCTACAAAAACCGGTATAAGCAGGGGAATATACAATGAAAGATGTTTTTACCTGAATACTGAAAATCGGAAATTGAGCCTTGAAAAAAAAACGACGCTTGATTAAAAACTTTCATCCAAAATTGAGGCGATGAATTAAAAAGAAAAAAAAAATCACACAATTGGAAGATGCATATTGGAGATGCGTTGGGTTTGTGAGAACTGATGGCTGATGTCTGGATTTAGGGGTACATAGGGAGCGACAGTATGTTCCAGGTCCGAATACAAGCAATTGGAAAGCTCTCGCAAGAAGGCTTAGGGGGGAGGAACGCAGAAGCGGGTTCCCATTCTTCCCTTCCCGCTGACCATCAGCAGCTGTGTCGGATCGACGTCGGATGCAAGCTCGGCGGCGGTGTGTTGACGGATGTGAGAATGAAAATTAAGAGGGAAAACGGAGTTGGGGGCAAAAATATTGGAGTCGGTGGAGCAGCAACCGGCTTTGAGGAAGAGAAGATAACGATGGGAAAACGTAAGGCGGTGTGTGCGAACAACGACAAATAGAACTTTCAGTGTCAAAATAACGAAAAAGAAATCTTTCGTGTCGTTCACAAGGCTTTTAAGCTATGTATTAAAAAATTGTTGTGGCAAATGTATAAAACGGAGAGAAATATGTGGCAGAAATCTAAATTCCAAAACTTTCATGTTCATCATCCTTTTAATGATTAATAGTATATATAATAGAGCCACCTATTGAATTTACTTTATTGGAAATATAACTAAATTTTTTTATTACTATGTTGTTTAACATAAATATATTCAAAGTAATTTAAATCATATTTTATATTACCCGTAATTTAAGTTTAAGGTGATAAAAAATGTATCATTTTTCATTTTTATATTTCATCAATATCTTTTCATGTTTTACCATTTCAAAAGTTTGTTAAATGAAATATTATTTTAAGTTTACAATCAACACTATAAAATGGATATCTATGTTACTATTTTAATAACTCATTATTCCTAAATATCATTGAGATATGTGACAAAACTGTTAATAAAGTGACAGAAAAAAATAAAATGGTTTTCAAATATTATTTAAAATTAAATATAATTTCATAAGTTTTGATAGAAAGTTACATTTATTGTCTTTAATAAAATATTAAAAGTTCATAGTTAAAACTTGTTTACAAATCTAATGAAAATAACTAAAAATTCCTTTTATATTAACGCAAGCATGATTGGAATATATAAAAAATTGTTCGTCCATACTTCATATAACAATAATAAAGATGAAATCCATTAAACTTGATATATAAATGAAATACATATTATAATTTAAACTCAAATCTAAGACTCACCACTCATCATTTTTGATAACCTAAAACTATCGATTAACTTTAAGTTCAGAAACCAAACCCAACGGAAAAATGTAAAAGAAAAAATAATAATAATAATAATAATAATAAATAATATACAGCGGTGTACATAACTATTGCCTACTTAACGCCTTTGTTCTTGTTTGCTTCCCATTTGCAAGAACAAATCCACTAACAATCACCTGCAAAAGAAACATGCTTAAAAGGGATAGTAAATATATAATTTTGTACGAAATGCTTTTCAAATCAAATAACTAAAAAATATGTTCTAAGAAGAGAGGAAAAGCTATTCGTAACAAACATCCACAAATCAAAAGATAAAAAAGAGCTTGAAAAGAATAACAATCTTTATTAACCGAGAAATATCATTCAACACAGTCAAAAACCAATTCTAAAACTTGTGAAATCAAACAAAAAGAAGAGATATAGGTTTTTTTTTTTTTTATTGTTATTTTTTAATAACATATCTAGGTGTAATACCCTGAATTCAGGAGGCCTATAAAGGAAAGAAAACCTCAAATTAAGGAAGTGACTAGTCGAGTAGATGGGGTGACTCGACGAGTAGGAGCGAGGATAGAGTTGCGAGTTAAATGACCCACTCGACGAGTCAGAGGACTAACTCGGTGAGTTGGTCAGGTTTGGGGAAAACCCTAAATGCGGATCTTGTACCCTATTTAAGGAACATTATAACCCTTCATCAGCCTCCTTGATGCTCTCTCTACTCCAGAACGAAACCCTAGTGCCTCCCATGAGTTTGTGAGCCTTTGTGAGCATTCTTGAGTGTCGTGAAGCTTGAAGAAGAAGGTGAAGCCTTGGGGAACACAGTCAAAAACCAATTCTAAAACTTGTGAAATCAAACAAAAAGAAGAGATATAGGTTTTTTTTATTTTTATTTTTTAATAACATATCTAGGTGTAATACCCTGAATTCAGGAGGCCTATAAAGGAAAGAAAACCTCAAATTAAGGAAGTGACTAGTCGAGTAGATGGGGTGACTCGACGAGTAGGAGCGAGGATAGAGTTGCGAGTTAAATGACCCACTCGACGAGTCAGAGGACTAACTCGGCGAGTTGGTCAGGTTTGGGGAAAACCCTAAATGCGGATCTTGTACCCTATTTAAGGAACATTATAACCCTTCATCAGCCTCCTTGATGCTCTCTCTACTCCAGAACGAAACCCTAGTGCCTCCCATGAGTTTGTGAGCCTTTGTGAGCATTCTTGAGTGTCGTGAAGCTTGAAGAAGAAGGTGAAGCCTTGGGGATACAAGAAGACACTAGTAGATCCAGAAACCTCTTGCATTCTCCTCCATTTTCCGGTACGAAAGCTTCCACCTTGATCATTATGCATGTAGATATCTCTTGTTTTCATTTTGGGTGTTTTTAGTCCAAGAACCCTAGCATGAGAGGAATGTACGTCCCAAGAGCTTGTGTTTTTAGATCTAGCACTATTAAGTGCTGTTATGGCATAAAGGTGCAAGCTTTATGCCATAGGAATCCCCATGCAAGCATATGAAGTGTTCTTTTGGCCTTTTTAGCTCAAAAGGCCATGAATGGAGGAAAAAGGCGGTAGCTTTGCATGCTTAGGAGATGGTTGGGTCCAAATCTATGTGTTGGATGCTATGAGACCCTCAGAAATTGTCTGAATAGATTGAGACATAGAGGGACTGAGGGCGAGTCACTAGCAGGACTCGACGAGTCAGACCGCTTTCTTGCCCCAAAACCCTTTTGTTAAAGGGTATGAGTTGAGTGGTTAGGGACTCAGCCACTCCGAGTCCATAGTAGGTATGAAGATCATAGTACCCGATGAGTTTCAGGAGGAAATCGATGAGTCCAAGGCAATCTCCTTAGTTTATGAAGGTGGAATCGGCGAGTCAGATGAAGTAGGGTGCCGATGTGTTGAAGGTGCACTCGACGAGTTCCAGGAGAACTCGACGAGTAGGAGCGAAGTCCAGAGTTTGTGAGGAATGTGGGACTCGACAAGTTGTTAGGCAACTCGGCGAGTTGAAGTCAACTCGGAGCATTGACTTTGACCAAGTTTCACCTGGGTTGACTTTTGGGAATATTGTGGTCTAAATGTTATTTTGTGTTTTGATAATTCGGGGAGCCGAAGGATCAGCAATTCAGAGGTTGTCAGTTGGCAGTCAGAAGTGTTTCAACTAGTCTTTAACAATGCGAGGTGAGTCTCCTCACCGTGTGCATGGGTCTACGGCCACAATGCCGCCCCATTATGTTCATGTTCATGTTTATGCTTATATATAGAAGGAAGACTTGGGGGTTATCCCTAGGTACTTATTGATATATGTTCTAGGTTACGACCTGATGCCGGGCGAGGCCCGAGGAATGTTACGATGCTAGAGGTCTTTGTGATTCTTGCATGTGTCGGTATGATAGGATCCGGACCGAGGGTCCGATATCGGGGTAAGCTTGAAGTACGTTAGTTAATAGTATGTTTCCGGGTCGGGGGTCTGATGCGGGGGTATTCCTGAGGAAGATTCTTATGTAGTATGTTAGATTATACTTGATGTCTTCGTGATACTTGTATGTGCCTGGTAGGGAGGTGATTTTAGGCGAGGTCCAGTATCTCATCACTAGCGGAGTATGGATTGGGTTCCATATCTCGATATTAGCAGAACAGGAGCGAGGTCCGTGGTAGGTAGAATATGAGTGTGGACGGGGGCTCGTATCTCACTACTAGTAGGAGTATGGACGAGTGTAACATACATGTTTTGAAATCGTGTTTTAAGTAAATAATATTATGAAATATTATGTGAATTTGAATGTTGAGTTCTAACAGATAGTTTTTACTATAAATGAAGTAAAACTATGTTTAGAATCACTCATTAAATATTGGAAGTCTTATGAGATTCCAATTAAAAGCCAAATAGTAAAATATAGCGAAAATATAAAATTTGAAATAAGCAAAATTTTATTACTGAAAGTTGTAGATAATCTCATTAGAAACATTTAGGTGAAATCCTCATCGAAATCCGAGTTATAACGAAGAAGTTATGACCAATCGAAGATCCGCGACAAAACCGGCACGACGCCGAATGACGTAAAAAGTGAGTTTTTGATAAACAACTTTTTAGCCTTAGTAATCTAAATGAAAGTTGTAGTATTCGTTAAACCGAGAAGTTCGATAAATAGAACGTCAAAATTTGACTTCGTATGACGAAGTTACGATTTTTCGAAGTTTCAGCTTAGTAGTAGACAGCTAAAAACTCGAATTTTAGATCGAGTGATTTTTAGCCAACACAACCTAAACGAGAATTGAAGGTCTCGTCATTTGTAGTACAACGGTAAAAAGTCTGACAAAAACGGACGTGGGATGAAGAAGTTATAAATTTTTAACGGATTTTCCTGTCCCGGTCTGTTAAAAATAATAATATTAAAATTAAAATCAAAATTAGCCGACCAAGTCCAAATGAAAGTTGTAGAGCATAATTTTAGCTACCTGTGCATATAATGAACGTAAAAAACGGAGCCCGTATGCGAAAATTATGGATTTTAGAAGATTTTGGCTCAAAAACCGAGAAATAAGTGGACAATATCGGAAATTTTCGCATGGTCAGCTCTCAGCCACGCCACCTCGCATGCGAGGCTTCCACGTGTCGGACATGTGCTCGCTGCTGATTGGACCGCGGTACGCGTTTTCACCCACTGATTCGTCCGAAGTGCTGGCCCGAACCAAGGAGCACCGCGCCATCCGACCAATCCGAGGCTCGCAGGTGTCCATCCGAAGCGTGCCAGCTGCCAAGTCCGAGCCTCGCCATTCTGCCACGTGGCCTTCGCACCAGCTGCCTCCTCGCATGTGATCCACGTGCTCTCTTCTCATTGCCTCGGATCCGAGCCTCCGGATCTCCTCCCTTATAAATAGAGGGACTGCGAGACCTCTCGGGTATTTTGAGAATTTTAGCACTTTCACCCCCCTTTTTGATATTTTTACTATTCTGAATTCCCCCGAAGCCCCGATACTGATTCCAAAGCCCGAAACACGCCCCAAGACTCCCAAGAAGCCCGAAAAATTTATCTTTTTGGTTTTGAAGCTCTACCTTCGTAGAGCCCGGTTTTCAACAACGAAAGTCATATTTAGAGCCGAAGTACTGCCCAAATTAATAATTTAGCCCCCGGTTATTTCACGATGAGTTTAATATATAGGAACAATTGTACGTCATGTGTTATATGTGCTA